AGGGGGGAAGGGGTACCAGAAGAGCAAGGCATGTTACTGGCGTACCTCTTCACCATCACGAACAAAACCAAACGGAAGAGCATCTTCGCCTTGGCCGCCACTGGCACCACCATCTTGTTCAGCCGGCGTCCCGCGGGTGTAGGTGAAACCGGTAAAGTCCATGACCGGCTTGGTCTTTCGAGAGCAGTGGCACGCCGAATGGGGCAAAGACACTGCCCACTGCCCCACTGCCTACCGTGTGGGCTTGGATCGAACGGGGCGATCGAGTCGGTTTGAGCATGTGTGTGTTTGTGTGTTGAGTCTGGTAGTGATCACTGCATACGGCAGCCTCGCATTATGTCTATGTCTGGGCCAGCGGGTGATGCAGGAGGTACTTGGATGGGACCGGCACTGATGGCGAGTAATGGATGGCAGGTATTGGGGTAGTAGATGGGGAATGGTGGAGGGTGGGGTCGAGGTTGCTGGCGCAGGCTCAAGAAGGGTAGTCGGAAGACGGCGGTGGACAGCTGGAGGATGGCGGCGGGTCCGAGGACGAGGCGGCGGCTTGGCGATCGGCGCGCAGCGGAGCCATGTCCGGATCGCGGACCACAAGGGTGGGATCAGCGAGGCCGTCGGCAAAGCGAGAGGCGATGGACTGAAAGTCCTTGCGGATGTAGGCGGTGACGTGGTGGGACCAGGGATGATCGCAGTTGCAGACAAAGGGCGAGAAGAACTTGACGCACGAGCACCGTGGCTTGGTGCACTTGTACGGCGGTCTGTTTGTGTGATCGGTGTGCTTGTGCTTGCACGAGCACACAGTCTTCCACGCGCCGGACGAGACGAGGTAGCGGAACTGCTTGCAATCGCATCGCGATGACGAGCAGCCAAAGTCGCGCGCTGTCTCGCCGCGCCCGCGCTTCCCGTGGTCCCGCAGTCGATGGTTGCACATGCAGTTGGACGACGGGCCGATGGGGATGCACTCGGCCTCGCACGTCTTGCACTTCCACGCCAGACACAGTTTGCTCACCGTATCACTCGCCATGGTCGCTCGCTCGGTTGCTGGTGAGGTGTCTCACCCTCCGCGCTCCCGTCGCCCTTCTCCATCTCCATCTCGGTCGTCCTTTGGCGCCAAAGCGCCGCTGCTGCCCAACCGGGTCGACACATGACTTCATCCGCATGATAGACGTCATGCATAGATGGAGAGAGCGTGAGCGTGTTGATCGGAGGTAATGGGCTAGATCACGACACAATTCGGCTGAGCATCACGGATGACCATGGCGATACGTACGAGCACGATTGCGATCGCCATGACGATCATGATCACGGTCGCAATCGCGATCACGATTGCGATCGCCATGACGATCAGGTCCACGATCACGATCACGACCACTCCCCTCCCGTTCCCCCCCTGCCCGTCTACACAGACCAGCCCACGCCACCACCTCTCCCTCTCTCCCTCCCTCCTCGTCCATCTCCATACAGGGAACGGCATGTTGGACAGACATCCACCGAGTCGGACGCTGTGGGTCAGGGGCTTTCCGGAGAACATGCCTCAGCCGCAGCTGGAGGCGTACATGGCCTCGCAGGGAGCGGTGGCCACCCGGGTCATGCGGCGCAAGGGCCCGCTCAAACACACCGCCTTTGTCGACTTTGCTTCGGTGGCTGACGCAGAGCTCGCTGCTGCTCGCATGCATGGGGCTCTGGTCATTGGCTCTCCGCTTGCTGTTGAGTTTGCCAAGCCAAAGACAGCGGCGGGCAAGGCGGCGGGCAAGGCGGCGGGCAAGGCGGCGAGCAAGGCGGCGAGCAAGGAGGCGGGCAAGGCAAAGGCCAGAGAGTCGACGGGTACAGAGAGCGTAGGCGCAGAGGGGGTGGGCGTCCAGGCTATGGCAGTACAAGCGGGACCGGGATCAGGACTGCGATCAGAACCACATGTAGGATCAGGACCGGGACAGGGCCAGACTGCAGTCTCTCGCCCGCTGCACATCACTGCTGACGATGTAGCTGCGGGCGAGGGACAGCCCATTGCGGGATACGCACCATATCCGGTCCCTCCGCTCAACAAGGCCATCCAGCGGTCGATCAACCGCTGGCTGGTTGAGAGCCCTGTCTTCTATGCCCAAGTCGTCCACCTCCTCAACACCATGGGCTTGCCGTACGACACGACACCAACTGCCGCCGAAATGCGCACCATCACCAAGCGTGTCCGCAAGCGCAAGCGCAAGCGCGATGCACCCACCGCTGCAGCTGCCTCCCCCGCCGAGGCCCCCCCGCCGCCACTCGCCCCCCCACCCCCTACCGCACAGCCTCCTTCCCTCACCTCCTCCTCCCATCCCCCCGCCGATAACCAACTACCCTCCAAGCGGCAGCATAGACTCTAATGAACGCCTTCTCCCTCCTATTTGTCTCCGATCCCGCGTCGTCGTCCTTCGGCCTCGTCACCGCGCCAGCCGCCGTCCGTCAGTTGGTCCACCGCTCGCCGCTCCCGCACACACCCACACAGTCACAGCCATAGCCACCTCACCCGCCCTTTGCTGGGTAGACACCCACCGTCCCTCTCTGTTTCCACCCCTCCACCCCTCTTCCCCACCACCACTCATGGACGCAGGTCCGTCAGACGTGGCCATGCTCACACATGAGCCGCTGGACCCGTACGTGGCGTCGCAGTTGGGGCGGACGACCCCACCCGAGTTCCACTTTGAGCACATGACGCCGGCGACACGGATGCTGCAGAAGCGGAAAGAAGTGCTGGAGGTGCAGCATGCGCTGGATCTGGAAAAGGCAACCTTTGCCCAGGTCATGTCCAAGGTCGAGGAGAAGGCTGCGGTGCTGGAGCAGACCAAGGAGAAGCTGCTGATGACACGGCAGAACTATGACGGCATCATCATGTCGCAGGACAAGGCGTACGAGGACTGCGTGGCAAACATCGAGCGGTGCAACGCGCTGCTGGAAAAGTACGATTTGGAGCTGAGGGCAAAGTCGCGGACACTCAAGGATCTCTCCAAACGTCTCGCCAAGCGCAAGCTCACTGCTGAGCGGCTGCGGGCGTATCCCGAGTTCCTCTCCAAACTCCCGCGCGACGACTACGACTTTAAGGAAGAGTCGGACATCACAGAGCGGTACAACACGCTCGACTCGACAAAGGTTGCCCTGGTTGAGCAGACAAAGCGCTGGACAAAGAAGCACTCGTCCGAGTCGCGCGCCATCAAGGCCGCCATCGAGTCGCAGCGCAACGAAATCGTCAAGATGTGGACCCAGATTAACCGCAAACGCAAAGAGCTGGAGGAGCTGCGCGACGAGACAAAGCGCCTCGAGGCAGACTTTGACCTCATGCTTGCCCGCTCCACAGACGAGACCCGTGAGCTCGGCGTCATCCTCATGGCCACCGCAAACCTGTACGACACAGTTGCAAAGCGCCCATATCTCACAGAGTCGGCCGGCGCCAAGGCGGACGTCTCGTCCAAGGCCCTGCTTCAGCTCGAGGCTATCGAGCAGCGGTATCTCGACCTCAAGACCATCTGCAACGAGCTCACCGCCCTGCGCGAGGGCGCAGAGGCTGCCGCCGCAGGCGGCGGCGCCCTCGTCCGACGCCGCCGCTCTGTCCGCCGCCCTGCCGGTTCCTCGCCGTCGAGCAAGCTGCCCCCGCTTCGTGCGGCCTCGCGTTCGCCGCGCCGCTCACCGCCACGCCGCCTCTCTCGTCGCGGCGGCCCTCTCCATCCGCGCGGTCCACGACCCCATCCCGAGTGACAATGAACGGCTTTCATACCATTTATGATTCGGCGTCAGCGTCGGCGTCGGCGTCGGCGTCAGCGTCGGCCTCGTTCTCAGCCTCTACATCAGCCTCTCCATCCGCATCTTCAGCAGGTTCGTCCTCATCCTCCTCGGCCTCGTCCGCCTCCTCTGCTTCTGCCTCTGCCTCGACCTCTGCCTCGACCTCAGCCTCGACCTCAGCCTCGACCTCAGCCTCGGCCTCAGCCTCATCCCGATCCTCGGCCTCGTCTCCATCTTCATCCTCGCCATCGCCATCCTCAACCGCATCCTCGACCTCGGTCTCGACTTCGGCCTCGGCCTCGGCATCAGCCACGGGCTCCTCCACCACGTCCATGTCGTTGGTGTCGTCAGCGACGGGCTCGGCCTCCGGCTCGGGCTTGCGACCAAACGCAGGCTTGACTCCGCTGCTAAAGCCGACCGGCGAAAAGCCAAAGGTCTTGCGAGCGCCGCCGCCGACGGCGCCGCCAACACCGGCGCCAAAGTTAAACTTGGGCGTGGACGAGCCCGAGCTTCCGCCAAACGGCCGGGTGATCTTGGGCGCGGTGCCCGGGAGCGCAGGCGGCGGCGGAATCTTGGACTTGGACTTTGGCTTGGGCGGCGCGGCGGGAGCCTCGTCCATCGGCTCGGGCACCGGCATCGGGGTGTCGATGCTCTGGGCCGGGACTGGCGTGGTCGCAGCCGGGGCAACGTCCATGGCGGCCTCACCGGCCAGCTTGGCCAGGAGCAGGTTGACCTTGCGCTCGAGGTTGACGGCCTTCTGCTCGGCGGCGGCCTTCTCGGTGAGCGCGGTCTTGCGGGCGGCCTTGAGCTTCTGCATCTTCTCCATGATGCTCTTGGCACGCTCCTCAAGTGCCTTGCCGCGGGTCTCGGCCTTGGTCAGGGCCGTCTTCGCCTCGGCAAGCTCGACCTCGGCCTTCTCTGCGCGGGCCTTGGCCTTGGCCATCTGCGCCTGCAGGTCGGCCACCGACGCGTCGCGCTTCTGGAGCTCGATCTTGGACTGGGCATCAGCGGTGGCCCTGCTCCCAGCGGCAGCCATCTCTTCCTTGAGCTTTTTGATGGTCTCCGCGTGCTCGCGCGCCTTGGTCCGCCACGACTGCCCGGCCTTGATCAGCTTGCCGCTCTTGGTCTTGAGCTCCGCCTCCGACTTGGCCAGCTTGGTCACCTCGGCAGACCGCTCCGAGAGCGCTGCACGGAGCTCGGCGAGTTGCTTGCTCGCGATGGCGAGCTCCTTGTCCTTGGCTGCCAACTGGGCCTTGGCGCCCTTGGCCGCCTCCACCAGCCGGGCGTGCTCCTCGGGGTCAACCCGCTTGTACTTGATCATCAGCTTCTCGACGCGAGTCTTCCACATACCGATCTCAACCTTGAGCGAGTCGCGCTCGGCGAGCGCTGCGTCGCGCGACGCTGCCAGCTCCGCCTTCTCCTTCAGCAGCGGCGTCAGCTGCTCCTCAAACGACCGGGCGCGCTCCTCCCACTCGCGGAGCCGCTCCATGTTGCGGCGCGACTCGTCGCGGAGCATCATGTTCGATTCCTCGTAGAGCGCAACCTTGGCGACCTTGTCCATCAGCTCCTTCTGCTCAGCCACTGTCCGTCCGCCGTACAGCGCCAGCGACGACGTCATGCCGCCTTCATCACCGTACGCCGCCTCGGCGCTGGCCCGCGCACGCTCCGTCTCCAGCGTACGCTGCAGGTGCTCGGCCTTTTGCCGCAGCCGCGAGGACTCCTGCGACGAGAGCTCGAGCTTGGCCCCGAGCACCTCCTTTTCGCGCTGGAGGAAGCGGACAACCTCGCGGAGCTCGGCCAGCGACTTGTCTCTGTCCTCCGCGCTCTCGCCGGCACCCTGGCCGCCGGCCGCCGGCGAGCCAAAGGTGGCGGCCGCCGCGCCGGGCCGCAGCGGCGAGCCAGCGAGGGTGGGCGCGCGTGCGTCGGCTGCTGCACCTGCGGCCTTGCCCACGCTCAGCGCCTGCGCCGTCACCGTCTCCAGTTGCGAGTGCAGGAATTCGTTCTGCTTCTCGACTTCGGCCACGCGCTCGGCCGTCGCCGCCACGCTCGCCTCGCTCTCTTTGCGGAGAGCCTCCAGCTCGGCGCGTGCCGCGCTCGCCTTGGCTTCCGCGGTGTGTGCGTCTTCGCGCGCCTTGCGCGCCTCGGCTTCCTTCTCCGCCAGCTCGCTGCGGAGGGCGGCGAGTGCCTCGAGATCCTTGGCGTGCGCCACAATCTCCTTCTCGTACTTGTCCTGGTTCTGGGTCGCCAGCGACTTGGCGAGCGCGACGCGGGCGTCGACTCGGTCTGCCGCATCACGCAGGCCCTCCATCTCGGCGAGGAGCGCTGCTTCACGCTCGTCGGCCGCTGCCTTGGCCCGCGCCAGCACCGCGTCGGCGGTGTTAACCTTTTGCTGTAGCGCAAGCAGCTCGGACGTGGCCTCCTGCAACTGGGCACCCTGCTCGGACACGGCTTTGCGCGCGTCGGCCAGCTCGGTCCGCAGGCGGGTGAGCTCGGCATCAGTGGTGGCCTTGTACTCGTCCGACGTGCGTGCCAGCTCGGCGTGCGCCTTCTCGGCCTCGGCGGCAATGGCCTTGAACTGCGCCACGTGCTGCTTCTCGCGCACCAACTGGCGCTGGAGCTCGAGCGCCTGCTCGCGGAAGGCATCGCCCGACGGCAGGCTGCCTGCAGCCTCGCTACCGCTTGTGGACTCGCCGCCGGCACCGGCAACTTCCATATCCTGCACCGCGCCCTGCGAGAGGTTGGCGGCAAGGCCGGGGTTGGCCAGCGCCACCTTGAGCTCAGCGCGGGCCTGCGACGCCTCGTCGCGGGCAGCAAGGAGGGCGGTCGCCTTCTCGTCGAGCTGGCGCTGGAGCGCGGCAATCTTGCCCTCGGCAATGGTGGCGGCCTGCGACGACCGCTCGCGCAGCGCATCGAGCTGGTTTTGCAGGAGCTTGGCCTCGGCCCGGGCCGACGCCAGGTGCTCCTCGGTCGTCGCCTTGACGGCAGCGTGCGACGACTCGAGAGAGGCGATCATGGCCTGGAGCGAAGCGAGGAGCTTCTCCATCCGCGCCACCTCGGAGCGGTGCGACTCGGTCTCGGCGCGGGCGCGCTTTTCGGCCGAGAGTGCGACCGAGGCCTCGGCCTCGGCCTTGGCCAGCGAGGCCTCGCAGCGGCGCAGTGCGTCGCGGGTTGACACCAGGTCGTGGTCGGCGTTGGCCAGCCGCTTCTGATGGTCGACAATCGAGGTCGAGAGCTCGAGGATTCGGGTCCGTGCCCGCTCGTTCTCGGCGTCGAGCGCCTTGCGGTTGGCGAGGAGCTGTGCAGCCTGGTCCTTGTGGAACGCAGCCTCGGACGTGGCCTTGGCAGCCTCAAGCTTGGCCTTGGACTCGGAGGCGCGCAGGGCCTCGATCGAGTCGTTGAGCATGGTCTGCGACTTGGCGGCTTCGGTGCGGAAGACGTCAAAGTCGGCCTTGACCGCATCGAGCTCGTTGCGGACGCGGGTGAGCTCGGACTGGCCTGAGCCGGTCGAGCCGGGCGCGCCGCCTTCGGCCACGTACCGCGAGTCGGCCTGGGCAAGGAGCGAGCGGTACATGTCGCGCTGGCGGGCGACCGAGGCCACCATTTCGGTCTGACGGTCGTGGGCGGCCGACATGTCGTCCAGCTCGGCCATGGCCGTGCGCAGCTTGTCGGCAAGGTCCGACTCGAGCGCAGCGCGAGCCTCGGAGCTCTGCTTGGCCACCTGGTCACGGAGAACAGCATTGGTCTTGCGAAGCTCGAGGTTGACGTTGTGCAGCTCCTCGATCGACTTGAAGAGCGAGGCATCGCCGTCGGCATCGGCACCCGGCGCCGGCGCCTCCTTGCCCTGGGCCTCGGCCAGCTCGTAGAGGAGGACCTTGACCTGGAGGGAGAGGTCCTCGGCCTCGCCGCGGACCAGCTCGTTCTCGGTCGAGAGGCGAGCGGCACGGGCGAGCGCGTCGTCGCGGGCGGTCTCGGCTGCCGAAACCTGCATGCGCGCGTCGAGCAGCTGGGCGGAGAGCTCCGAGTGCAGCGAGATGGCCTCGTCATACTCCTTCTCCTTGGCGGCGAGGACCGGGCCCTTCTCCTCGACCTCGACCAGGATCTGCTGCAGGTACTTGTTGAGCTTGCGGTTCTCGCGCTGGCTCGCCTTCAGCTCGTTCTCGACCTCCATGAACCGCGAGTACATCTCAGTGACCGAGAGCGCGCCCGGCGAGCCGAGCGCCGGCCGGGCCGGCGAGCCCGTCGGTGAGGCCGAGCCAATGAGAAAGGCGGCGGCGGCGGCGGTCTTGGACACGGCAGCCAGGGTCTTGCGCTTCTTGGCCGACGGCGGGCCCTGGGCGAGCGGAGCGGGCGCTCCGCTCACCTCGGAGTCTGCACCCTCGTCCGAGTCCGAGTCTGAGGCCGGCGAGTCGGAGCGGCGGCGGGTCCGCCGGCGTGACGGCGAGTCGGCGCCCAGAGGCGAGTCGGCGGTGGCCGGGCGGAGACGCAGCGCGTCGGCGAGCTGGTTTTGCAGCTCGACCCGCTCGCGGAGGAGCTCGTCAATTTTGGCGGTGTGTGCGGCCTCAGACTGGTCGACGAGCGCGTTGAGCTCGTCGAGCGCGGTTTGCAAGCCGTCGGCACGCTCCTTCTCGTGGGCAGCCTCGTCCTTGTACAGCTCGATGAGGCGAGTCTGGGTCGCGTTGGTCCGCGCAAAGGCCGACTCCTTGGCAGCCATCTCGTCGCGAAGTTCGCGGAGCTCGGCAGCCTTGGCGTCGAGGGCCTCGGTCTTGGCGTCGAGGTTGGCGCGGATGCGGGTGAGGGCGTCGTTGGCGGCGGCGGCCTCGCGGCGGGCTGCATCGAGCTCGACCTGCGAGTCAATGCGGAGCGTAGACGCCTCCTTGCGGGCAGTAAGCAGCTGCGAAGCCTTGTCGTCGAGCTCAGCGGTGAGCCACTCGGTGTGGGAGCGGGCCTGCTCGAGCTCGCGCTCGAGACGGGCGACGCGGAACGATTCGGCGACCAGGTTGGACTCTGCCTCGCGGAGGGCGACCTCGACGTCAGCCTTGGACGCCGACTCTGCGGCAAGGCGCTCGAGCGACGACGACGACGACGCAGCCATGCGGTCGACGTCCTTGCCCTTGAGGTCGAGGAGGTTGAGGAGCGAGGCCTTGTCGGCCTCGAGAGAGGCGGCGTAGCTCTTGAGTGAGGCAGCGTCAGCGGCGGCAGCCGAGGCAGCGGCCCGGGCAGAAGCAGCCTCGGCCTTTGCAGTCTCTAGCGCCTCGCCAGCCTCGCGGAGCTCAGCCTTGGTGCGGTCGAGACTGGCGCTAAGCGCCTCAGCCTCGCTGCGGGCGAGCTCGGCGGCGACCTCGGCCTGGTGAAAAAGATGCTGGTCATTGACGGCCTTGTTGGCGGCGGCAGCAGCGGCAGCCTCGGCCTCGCTACGGAGCTCCTTAATGTACGTGTCGGCCTTGCGGGCGACGTGCCAGGCGGCGGGCACTCCCTGTGCCTCGCTCACCTCCTCTGCAGTGAGGAAGAGGACGTGTACGTTGCCATGGGAGTCGCGTGTGCCGACCCTGCCACACCGCTCACTCGCCGCCGAGTCGCAGACGGTGGTGATCGCGCGCCGCCTCACCTGGCCGCGCCCACCCGGCGGCGCTTTGCTTACCAGCACGGTTCTGGGCCAGTGCGGAGCAAGATAGGTTTAAGCCTTGACCTCGCTCTCTGCGGGCAACGCTGGCTCTGACGGCGGGGCGAGGGTGGCGAGGAGTGGACGATGTAGGTGAGTAGGTCGGTGATGGAGACGATCCCAACGATGCGTGAGGTCGAGTCGACGCAGATGAGGCGGTGGGCGTGTGTGGCGCGGATGGTGTCGATGACGGAAGCGAGCGAGTCGTGCTTGGAGCAGGTGTGGACCGAGGGCGTGCGGAGGCGGTACTGCAGCGCCTCGTGGACTGAGATGTCCAGGTTGTCGTACGCCTGGGCCCGGGCGAGGTCGTAGACATCCGACTTGGAGTAGACGTCGATGACGACGCCCGTGGCGTCGATGATGGGGATGGCGGAGATGCGGCGCTCAAAGAAGATGTTGAGGACAACAATGAGCGGAGTCTCGGCCGAGATGGTGATGACCGACTTGAAGACGCCGACGCCGAGGTCGAAAATCGACTCGTCCATGAACGGTGGGGTGTTGGAGACGGCGGCGGTGGCGGCGTCGATGATGTCCCAGTGAGTGAGGATGGCGAGGATGGTGTTGGTCTCGGGTCGACGATCGGCGCGCGGTGGACGCCGTTGGAGAGAAGCATGAGCGCCGTGTGCAGGAGGTTGTCGGTCGGCTCGGCATACACAAGCTTGTGGATGAGTCGCCCGGGTGCGTCCGGGTCCGACGCCGCCAGCTCGCGCCACCGCGAGATGGAGTACTCGACAAGCTCGTCCATGCCGGCAAGCGGCGAGCGGTAAAAGTGCTTAAGGACGGCAATAAAGTCGGTCATTGAGATAAGGCCGACGTACGCGCGCCGCTCGGCTTCCCACAACGGTGCCGAGCGCACATTGTTCTCCACAAGTACCTGGAACGCGTCCTTGACCAGCAGTCGCGTGTCGAGCACCACAACCTTGGACGACTCGGGCAGCAGGTCGTACGTCGTCACCTTGCGGAGCGCATCGCGGTAGACCCATCGCGGATCAAAAACCCCATCATCCCGGCGGTCTTCGCCGGCCAGGTCAGCGTCATCACCACCGCCACCAGCCTCTGGCGTCGTTCTGCTTCCACTTTCGTCCGCCTCGATTCCGTCCATCTCCAGAGCCATTTCTGTTCCTCCCGCAGCCCAACTCGCGCATGCATGTGAGTCTCTTGCGGCCACTAATAATCTCCTGAATCCAGCATGACGCTCGATGGCGCTGTGGTGCCCTGTTCTGCTTGCAGCGCTCTCGGCTGTGGCTGTGGCTTCCTCTATGCAACTTTCGCCAGGCAGTCAGAGACAGCAGGCACACACCCTCCCCTCCCCCTCCCCCTCCTCCTCCCCCTCTCCCTTCCCCTCCCCCCCCATCCCCTTCATCCCCTCAACACCCTCATGACCGTACCTGCCAGCGACTTCTCTGCATGGTCCGGGTCCAACACAGCTGTGGCAAGCGAGCCACCAACTCTATCGTCGTCCGAGTCCGAGTACGACGACGAGGCGAAGCGGCCGCCCATGGGAAGGATGGACATAGCCCCGTGCAAGTGTGTGTGTATGTGTGTGTGTGTGTGTGTGTGTGTGTAGTTGTAGAGAGTCAATCCAGGCCAAGTGAAAGAGTCTCCACTACTTCTTCTCTCCCTGTGTGTGTATTCCCTAGGGGTATGCGGGAGGCAGAGCGAGAGAGAGAGAGAGCACAGGGGGGGGGGGGGGGGGGGAGGGGATGGAGATCGGTCTTTGGGAGCATGATTGATTGATTGATTGGATGTGTGTGTGTGTGTGTGTGTGTGATGATGGTGATAGGCAGGTGGGCGGGTGAGATCATCTTCATCGGATGGAGAATGGGGCTGGGTCAGTGGCTGGGGTAGCCGGTGCGGCCTTGCCGGTGTAGGCTTGCTGGTGTAGGCTTGCCCGTGCGGGGATCGAAGCTGAGGAACACTATGTTAGTCACATCGGTACGACGTAGTGAGGGTGGTGGGATGGGTAGAGGGGTGGGCGGGTGAGATCATGCCCATCGGATGGAGGATGGAGGGGGAGCAGAGCTGGTGCGCCGCAATGGTGCAATGAGACAGGAGACAGCCCCCTCCCCTCCTCCCACGATACCCACCACACGCACACCACTCTACGTCATCCGCCCACAACCGGCATGCAGCTGGCGCTTGCTTTGGCGGTAAGACGGAGAGCTGTAGCTCTGGCCATGGTGGGGACGGGCGTGACGCGACGAGAGACTCGGCGCTGGGGCGAGAGGCAAGGCGAGACGGGGAGGCGGGCAATGACGGCGATGTCGGTGGCAGAGCCATCGGCGGTAAAGGCGGTGGTCGACGAGTCGGCGCCCGTAACTGTTGTCCGCGGTGGCCCTGGGACGGGCAAGTCGACAGCTGCGGTGGCCAGAGTCCGTGCACTGGCGCACGCCGGACACGATGTGGTGCTGGTGGTACCGTCGCGGGCGGCGGCGGCGGCGGCGGAAGCAGCGCTCGACGACCACGCGGCGGTCTTAGGCGACCGCTATGCAGTCGCGACATGGCCGAAGTTTCTCGGCAGCCTGCTGCCGCGATCGAGGGCTAAGATGCCGGCGCCACACCCTCTGGCGGCAGCAACAGCGGCGGCTCTGGCGCATCCGCTTGGCGCACGGCTGTCGTCGTACGACGAGCCCGCGGCGGCAGTGGCGGCAGCTGAGAGTGACAAGCTGACGCTCAAGGCGACGGCAGTGGTCGTCGATGACGCGCAGGGCGCGTCGTTGCTGCATCTCGCCGCACTGCGTGCACTGGTCACTCGCCACGGCCTTGCTTCGCTGACGCTCATGATCGAAGACGGCCCGTTGGCTCTGCCGCCGCGGGCGCTCTCCGATGCTGTGGCGCGCGGGTGTATTGACGTGCCGAGCTCGTTTGCTCCGGCAGAAGTGGTGGTTCACGAGCTTGCCTACCGCTTTGTCCGCAACGAGGCTGCGGACCGGCTGCTGGCCTGCCCGCCGCCGGCTGGGCTTGCGTCGCCGACATGTGTCGAAGCCAGCTACACGCGGTACGGATCCGAGGCTGCTGAGGCGAGCGCTGTCGCCGACACACTTGTGCATCTTGTGGTGAGCGAGGGCGTGCGGCCGGAGCGAGTGGCGGTGGTCACGCCATCGCATTCCGCGCTGCCGCGGCTGTGGACCTCGCTCCTCGACGCGTCGCTGCCTGTGGCATACTCGGGCTATCTCCCACACAGGCTACTGAACCAGCCCGAAGTCCGGCTGTGTGCAAGCGTGCTCGAGCTGGCGGCTTCGCCGACGGGTGCATCCCCATTGGCGTGGACAACGCTGCTGGCATCGGGCCTGGTGGGAGTGGATGGTGAGGTCCTGAGCTTGGTGGCACGGGAAGCGCAGCACGGACGCGATAGCGTCCGGATCTACGACTTGCTGGCCGAGGATGAGCGCGCGTGCAAAGTGACCAGCGCGCTCGACATGCTGCATCTCGAGTGCAACCTGCCGGGCGCGTCGGTCGCGGGCCTTGTTGCCGACTTTGTCTTTTCGCGGTTGAGCGACGAGCTGTGCGACGAGCTGGGCGCCTTGTCCGGCAGCCGTGGCGCGCAGCAGATGGCCAACATGGAGGCATACTTTAAGCTCCTTTCGTCGCTCTCGACGTCCGCGGCGTACTCACCGGCAGCGGGGCGGCTGCTCCTTGCCACTCGCAACCTCGAGGCGGCCGGGGATGATCCGCGTGTGTTGCCGGCGGCGGTCGACGTCGGCCCGGCCGCGGGCGCAGTGGTCCTGGGCACGCCGTCGGTGCTGGCAGCAGGCACGCAGAGCTTCGACCATGTTTTCTACGTCGCTGCCGCGCGGCCGTCGGGCGAGCTTGTCCGCGAGTTGCGCCGCGCGAGTACCGATCCGGAGCTGCGCGCCTTTGCAGCGGGCACGCTCGGTCTGACCTGGCGCGAATCCCCGCAGCCATTGGCCTTGTCGGCGTTGGGTGCAGCAGCGGCGCGGGCACACAAGGCGCTCCACATTACCAGCGGGTCTGGGGTCCTCTCGCTGGATCCGGCAGTAGCCAAGGTGCTCGGAGTGCCGGCCGAGGCGGTGCAGGAGCGGCAGAGCGCGCCACGGAGTGCTCGAGATGTCAAGCTCGTCGGCCCACACTACGCACTCTCGGCTCTGGGAGCGGAGGCGCTGGCGGCAGCAGTGGCAGACCCGGTGCGGCGAGCAGCGACGCTAGCCGAGGCCACGACCTGCCCTGCGCGACTGTACTTTGCTCACGAGCTGGGCGTCACAGGCAGTCCGCGGCCGGCAACAACCGCGGGGGTAGCAGCTGGCGCTCGGGCCGCTGCGCTGCCGCACGTGGTGGGCGGAGAGGGGATGGCGGCTCGTGAGGCCTACAACGCCTGGTGGGTCCAAGTTGGCGGATTTGACCTCCCGCCGCAGGTCCCGGCATACCGCGACGGCATGGCGGCGATCGAGGCCGCCTGCGCCTCCGGCCCGTGGGCTGCTGAAGACCTGATCGTGGACGCCTCCGCCGGAGTGGTCCTCGCGGTACAGCGCGAGTGCATTGCCGGCTACACGCTGGCGCTTGACGATGCAAGCAAGAGCCTGGCCCGGGCGAGTAGGGTGGGCTCGCTCCTGCGAGTTGTCGCCGCCCAAGCCGGGCCCGAGTGGAGCGGCGAGCTGGTGATGACCGAAGTTTCAACCGGCGACGTGGCGAGCCGCAAGTGGAGCCCGCGGCTGCGGGCGCTATCGCGCAAGGCAGTGGCCGCCGCGGATGAGCTACTTGCGCGTGTGACGGGCAGCAGTGGCGGTGAGATGGAGGCGTGGCCGAGCCGGCGCGCCTGTCTCGGGTGCAGCTGGCGGAGCGTGTGCCCATCGAGCGAGGCGGCGTCGTGAGTAGGTGTCATGCGCCCTGGATGAGCGGTGCCCGCTCAGACGGCGCCGAGTCTGGCGGCGGCGTGCGATGTGTGGCGTGCATGAGAGCGAGGGCAGCAAGGATGGTAGCCATGCCGGCGGCAGGCCAGAGGAGTGCCACGCCCTGGCCGGCCCACTCGTGGAAGAAGAGCGCTCCCTCGATGGCGGCGACGACCGGGACGGCAAAGTCGACGCCGACCTGCCGGACGGCGCCGAGCTCGCGGACAAGCACAAACTGGAGGAGGTAGGCAAGACACGATCCGCCAAGCCCGAGGTAAACCACGCCGCCCCACGCCGAGCCGTCCATCGACGCCAGCCACGCCATACGCGCTGGGTAATGGTGGCTGAGCGAGAGCGGATGCCATGTGTCGACAGCGGCGGCAGCAATGACCGCGACAACCGCGCCAGCAGCGGTCTGTGCCAGGGCCAGCCGCACGTATGAGAGGCGCGGCCCAAGGACGGCTTCGGCTACGACGGCGGCTGCGCCTTTGCATGCCGCGGCGACGAGGACGAGGCTGTATCCCAACAGCGTGTCCGAGACCGGGCGAGCCGTGGCGTGCTTGCCCGACTTGCCGGCGAGCGCCTCGGCATAGAGCAGGGCAACGCCAGCGAGGCCAAGCGCGAGTGCCGGCCACAGCGCACGGCCAAGCGTGGGTGGACGGCGAGCGAGCGCGACGAGCGCGGCGGCGATGAGCGGCGAGGTGGCAGCGAGGACGGCTACGACGCCGATGTTGATCCCGAGATTCATGGCGATGGGATAGAGGGTGTACGGGATGACATTGTTGAGTAGCGCCATAGCGGTGGCAGTCCGGGCGAGAGCAAGCCCCGACAGTGGAAGCTTGCGCTCATCGGCAGCGAGCACGTCCAGAGCCTCATGCCGCCTCCGCCCAAGTCGATGCAGCACCGGCGAGGTGACGCCGAGCGCAGCGGCACCGATGACCAAGCGCAAGGCGGTGAGCGAGAGTGGCGGGACATGAGCTTTGGCGACCTTGGTAAAGGCAAAGGCCGAGCCGGCAACAAGGGCCAGTGTGGCAAAGGCAGCCGCGATGGCAAGCGGATGCATGGCCATGGCCGGCGGAGCAGGCCGCGAGGCAGAGGCTGGGGAAAGACGGTCCGCGGTGGTGAACTCGTTTCGCGCGAGCGATAGAGTCGAAACTGGGAGTGAGCGAAAAGTGAGAAACAGAGTTGAGGGTTGCCGATTTGCGCGAGCTCGTTTACTTGCCACCATCTCTCTCGTGAATCAATCATGGCAGCCATTGAGGGTGTCAAGCTCTTCGGCAAGTGGTACGTGGACAACCGAGCGCTTCCAGCATCTCATCCCCCCCTGCCTCCAGCAACCATACACAGTGGACATTGTGTACTGCAGCACCAACGCGGCCTCTGCTCTTGCATCCCCTCTGCGCTGCGGCGCTCTCTGCCCCCATGCCTCGCCACGGGTGGCCGAGGAGCAGCGAGCGACGATTTTATGTTTGCGTCCCCATCCCGTCACCGGCGACTGCGGCCTTGGGTGAGAGCCAGCTGCAGCCTGGTAATGCCCGCACCCCCCGCACCTCGATGATTACTCACTCTACCACATGTGCTTCTTTGCTATCCCCTTGCTTGTGTGCGGTTATAGGTCGTTCGACGACATCGAGGTCAACGACATTGCGCTCATGGTACGATCAGGCCAATGGCCCATTTTTGCCCGCACTCGCACACGGCCACACACACAGCGACCAGGAGCGTCCCACGCAAGCTGTTATCATGCTGCAGGACCATGCGCTGATGCACCGGTACCGGCGCGTTTATGGCTGTCGCTCTCTTCCGCATCTGCAGTCGCTGTGTGGCTGTGCTGGGTGTGGGAGCTCGTGGTGGGCGGTGGATGGCGGCGAAAGACTTTGTGTCTGCCGGGCGGCAGCAGGCCACCCCAGGGACATGGGGAATGAGAGGGAAGGGGGATATAGGCACGGGAGAACTCACGGGATATTTGTTGTGTTTGTGTGAATGTGATTATGTGGGGATAGGACTACATTGCTGTCAAGCCCAAGTCTGCGCAGTTCCTCCCGCACTCTGCTGGTCGCTGGCAGGTCAAGCGCTTCCGCAAGGCCACGTGCCCGATTGTGGAGCGCATGACGTGCTCGATGATGATGCACGGCCGTAACTCCGGCAAGAAGCTCATGGCTGTGCGGATCATCAAGCACTGCTTCGAGATCATCCACCTGCTCACGGACCAGAACCCGATCCAGGTGCTCGTTGACGCCGTCGCCAACGCCGGTGCCCGTGAGGACTCGACCCGTGTCGGCTCGCACGGTACCGCCCGCCGCCAGGCCGTCGATGTCTCGCCGCTCCGCCGCGTCAACACGGCCATCTACCTCATCTCGGTCGGTGCCCGTAACTCGGCCTTCCGCAACATCAAGACCATCGCCGAGTGCCTCGCCGACGAGATCATCAACGCCGCCAAGGGCTCGTCGAACTCGTACGCCATCAAGAAGCGTGACGAGACAGAGCGCGTTGCCGTCTCCAACCGCTAAAGGAAGCGTTACCTCCTCATGTGCTTTGGTCAGAGTGGGAGGCGAAGGAGAGGAACGTGGCGCGAGCTGGGCTTCTGCTCGCTCTCGCACACGTGACGAGAGAGACCGGGAGAGCCAAAGAGAGAGAGAGAGAGAGAGACACGCACTGCACCCCTCCCCCCCCCACACACACACGCCAGAAGCTTTACTACGAGACGGAGTGAGGCTGTCTGCTGTGTTTGCATGGCAGCAGAGACTAGCTCCTCCGGCGCTGTGGCCGAGTGTCGGGTGGTGGTCGAGGCCGGCGAGGAGTTTGTGGACGGGTACGCAAGCCAAGGCGGCGAGGGCCGGTGGGAGGGGGAGGGGAGGGGCATGAGGGGGGAATGGGGTTTATGCCATTTGCTGGAGGTTGTAGGGTAGGGTGAGGGCATGGGCGGTGGCTGGCTGACTGAGTAGACGGCGGCTGATGGCGGTGCGGTGCGGACGCGGGGGACGCGGCGGACGCAGTGGACGCTGACTCACACGGGCTGGCTTTCTCGCGGACGATGGAAACCGGGGAGTGGGTCGGGGGTAGCTGGGAGGTCGTCTCGATTAACCAGTGGGACGTGGAGCAGGTGCGGGTGCTGATTCTGTCGACGGCGGCGCTGTATCGGATCAAGTACAAGGCATCGAGCGGAGAGATCCTCCACCATCATCGCCAGCCGCTCGACGACATCTGCAGGATCCAGATCGGCCGGTTTGTGTTTGGCACCTTTGCGGTGGCACGGCTCTTTCGATCAGCAGCCGACGAGGACGGCATAGTTGGCTTACGGATCTTCTCAGCCGAGCATCGTGGCGGCTCGTCGCTGCTGGATGAGGCGCAGCCTTTTCGAACGTATCGTGCGGCGCGGGCGGCGCTGGTGGACCTGGCCTCGCCTGACGCGCTCGTTCGCAGCATCGCCGACGCGATCCTGGTCGCGCAGGACGAGGCGCTCGGCAGGCGGTGCACACTCGACGAGTTTGACATCAAGCGGTCGAACGTGCTCGGCCCGCTCTCCGTGGTGCGCAACAAGCTGAGCGGCGTGTAGGGGAGGTGTTTACGCCGACGATTCCGAGTCGTCGTCGTCGTCGTCGTCGTTGTCATCGTCGTCGTCAGTGGCATCGGCAGCTTCGGCAGAGGCCTTGGCATCGGCAGCGACAGCCTCGGCGGCGGCAGTCTTGGCGGCGCGCGAGTGAGCGGACCGCGGTGCAATCTCGGCGCTCGCCTTGGACGAGGCCGACTGCTGGGCGGCCTTGGCAGCCTTGGCCTTGGCGCGTTTCTGGGCGCGGGCGGCATCCTTTTTGGAGAGCTCCTTCTTGACGAGAGCGTCGTAGTCGGCGCGCTCGGCTGCGGCGCGCGTCTCATGGTCGGCGCGCTCGCTCGAGTGGAGGCTCTCCCAATCAGCGTTGAGGCGGTCAAAGACGGCGACGAGGTCGAGCGGCGCGCCCGGCTCGGTGTCGGCGAGAACGGCGCGCGCAGCGCGCTCGCGGTTGTTGTCAAAGTAGATGGAGCGGGCGGAGCGCGGGAGGGCAATGCCGGCCGGGATGGCATCGGCGTGGATGTAGGCATTGTGCGGGAAGCGGACCTTGTAGGTGGCGAGCTTTGCGGCGTAGGCCTTCTCTTCCTCCTTGGCGCGGGCAATGTACTTGGCCTTGTCCTCGTCCGAGGTGTTTGTCCAGGCCACCTTGCGGGCCTCCTTGTAGGACATGGCGTGCTCCTTTGCGTAGTCGACGGTGGCAAGGTGGTCCGGCCGCGGCGGACGCTTGGGTTTGAACGGGTCGGCGGTCGTCCGCTGGCCGGGGTGCAGGCGGAAGAAGGCCTCGAGCTGGACGAGCTCAATTGCAGCGAGGCGGGCGTGCTCAGCCTCAAATGGCTCGCGGTCCATGGCTGGAAGCGACTCGAAGCGCTCCTTGCCCTCGGCGAGCTTGGATCGGTACTCGGGCGTGGTCACGTTGAGCGAGGCGAGCTCGGGGTAGAGGTGGCGAGCAAAGAGCTCCGCTGCCGGCTTGGCCCGCTTTGGCCGCCGAATGGCGGCGCGGGTCTTGCGGGTCCGGCCGGTGCCGCGCGTGATGGCAGCGGCAAGAACCGGCGGGAAGAGGTCGCCATCCACGCCCGGCCCGTCGATGGCGGCCTTCTCCAGCGCGCCAGGCGCGTAGTACGGGAACTTGTCAATAAAGGCCTCCAGAACTGCCTCTGATTGGCGGCACGCCGGGCGTCCACGGCGGCGTGGGCCATAAACTGCGCCCGCTCTCCTGGCGACAGCGCCGCATACCGCGCCTTGATCCGGGTGACCTTGTCGGTGTGGGCCATGTCGGCGTACTCGGCCTTTGCACCCTCGTGGGTGGAGAAAATGATGTTGACGTTCCGCGCAGCGGTGACCTTGTTGGCATCCGCCAGCGCCTTGCCAGCCATCGGCCGCCCATGCTTAGCCTTGTGCATGTTCCGCACCACACGTCGCGCCGACGGCAGCAGCGGCACAGAAGCCAGCACTGGCACGCTCTCCATTTCCGTCACTGTCGTCGTCGTCGTCGTCGTCGTCGTCGTCGTCGTCGTCGTCGTCGTCGGTGGCCGGGAGGATTCTACCCCACGCGACGCAGACCGCTTCTGCCGCTTGGTGGGGCCGGACATGGTAGGTGTGTGAGGGGGGGGAGGGGGAGGAGAGGGGGGGAGGTAGAGGAGAAGTGGACGAGGGAGAGGGAGGGAAGGAGGGAAAGGGGTGACGTGGGGTGGGGTGGAGGTGGAGGGGTGGGGTGGGGTGGGGTGGAGGGTGGAGTGGGCGGGATCTGATCGTGATCGTGATCTGATCGTGATCGTGATCGTGATCGGGATCGGGATCGGGATCGTGGTCGGAGTTGGGAGAGGTGGTGGGGGAGGTGGAGGGTGGGGGGAGGAAGGGGGGAGGAGGAGGGAAGAGGGGGAGCAAGAAGAGAGAGAGAGGAGTAGTTGGTGAGAGGAGA